ACATCATACCTGTCAGACTTCAACCAGATGACTCTTAGTTGATAACAGTGAAGTCCATAACATTCATCAGTACTGACGTTCAGAGTTCTGCCCCAAGTCCAGGTTGAGTCAACGTTTTGATTTTCCAAAAACTGATAAAACAAATCAGTAAAAATTAGTGCTGGGCATAGATTTAAAAAATTTAATCATGATTAATCTCAAGAAATTTTTGCGATTAATCGCAATTAATTTTTTTTTAGAAACGATCACTCTACTATGACTGAATGTGTAGGTTTATATGTTGCAATACACTCCATGTGTGACACTATGTACAGTTTTTTTTTCTTTTTTTATCTTCTTATGGCTTATTTCGTTTATTTTTGCTGATAACTGTGACCTTAGTATCTATCTTTCTTTCCTCGTGTAATTCTTTTTTCAGACTCAAACTGCTTCCGTGGTGAGACAGTTTAAGCGTTGCAGCACTTACAGGGAACTTTAATTTTTTCAAGCCCGCCATTGAGAAACGTTTTCAAATAAAAAGGGCCCTAAAATAAATAATCTGGTGACGTCGGCCGTGTTTCTACCCTGGCTGCAGCTCGCAGCCACAATGACTCAACAACAAAGGCTCTTATTGGTTGAGACGTGCAACAAAGACCATCTAAAGCCAATAGTGATCAACATCCCACCTCCCCACCATAATCACTGTTTGTGTGTGCCTGTGTATGTGTTAATTTCCCAGTAAACAGAGATCTGAGGAATAAATATAAAGAAATAAATAACTGCATTAACACGAGTTAAAAAAAATATTGCCAATAAGCGTCAGCTGCATTAATGCAATAATGCGTTAATGTGCCCAACACTAATAAAGATATGACAAAATGTCCGTCTTTTGTTTAGTTTTGGTTCATATTAAAGGAAACAATGATTTTATTATTTGATCATTTTACAAATTTGCTTGTTTACAAAACAGTGACTAGTTTTTAACCTTAATTAGATTTTAAATTTAATGGAGAAAAAAGAGCAAACTCATAGAAACTGTAAAAGGATCAATTGATCCTCAGATGACTAGATACTTTGTTGGAAGAACAGTTTTAGTCACGTGTCAGGAGGGACTTTGGCAAACATCACTTTTATACAAACTTCACCTCCCTCTGGTTAGACCACTCTATGACTCAATGAGCTACATCCTTAGATGTTTGTTTGTTTCCTTGCTGTAGGTTTTTGTTCACCATCACATTGGAGAACCCATCTAAAACCTATCTTCAGTAGTCCTGACAATGAGTCCTCATGATCACGGTCACAAGGGACTCTGTGGGGACAAAAATATTTAAACATAAATGTTCTTGATGGTTATGGTCCTGCAGAGGGCAGGTGTGTTTTATGGACGTAAGTTCAAATCAGAGTATCAGTAATCATCTGGGTGTAATCTGGGAGCCACATGGGCTTAAAACCAATATGAGTCAGATTCACTCATTGACAAACAAATCAGTTTTTTTTTTCTTTTTCTGGATCAATACAACCCCAATCCCCAAATTGGAATACAAATACAATACAATACAAATTTGCAAATCCTATACTCAAATACACTACATAGACAAGATATTTAATGTTCAAACAGATAAACTTTATAGTTTTTTGCAAATATTTACTGGTACTCATTTTGAATTAGATGCCTGCAACATGTTCCAAAAAATCTGGGACGGGCATTTTTTGCCTCTGTGTTACATCACCTTTCCTTTTAATAGAACTCAATAAGCATTTGGGAACTGAGGACACTAAAGCCCCTTCTTCATGAGCACAGTTCAGAGATTCTCAGTTGGGCTGGGGTCTGGGTTTTGACTGGACCAGTCCAGGACATTTGACTGGTTCTCCTCGGACCAGTGGAGTGTTCTTCAGGGTCATTGTACTGCAGGAAGGAGGACCTCTGTTCCAGTCTGAAATCTGTAAAACTGAAAGAAGTTTCTCTAAAGAATTTCCCTGGATTTTGCTTCATCCGTCTTTCCTTTAACTCGGACCAGTTTCAGTCCATTAAGTTAAATTTAAKACATTTTTAATACTGTTCCAATACTTTTAATACCAACATGACTTTCGAGCTGCAACTGTAGTGGCAACTGCTTGAACCTATTATTAGTTACTGGATACAWAGTTGTTGTTTTTTTTTGCCTTAATAAAACACTGACCTATACACACTTATTTGTTTTTTACCCTAGATTCAAGACAAAAAGTGATTTCTTTATGTGTAGGAAGAGCAGTGCTATGAGCAACAGGTCGTCTGCTCTCGCATTCCCCAGTGTTGTGGAATACTTATTTTCTGTATCACCTTGACACTGACCACTTGTTCCTGTTCCTGAAGATATGAACACTTGTTCATATCTTGTGATATCCTTCCGGACGTCAGCATCAAGTTGACCTATTTCCGTGTATCAGGATGGGGCAGGTTATGATTGGTTGTTCATTCTCACACGATGTTAGATGACAGAATGCTGTATATGAGGCCTCTCGAGACACAGTGTGCAACAGAGTTCGGCAGAGAACAGAGTTAGACAGTGAGCAGTGTGGAGTGACAGACAGAGAGGCACAGAGACAGGCCACGTTCTCTGTGTTCCTGTTGTTGCAATAAAACTCAGCTGATCATCCCACGGAGTACCTTCATTCTTGACCAGCGTATTTCTGTCTCTGTTGTTAGATAAATAATTGCCATAACACCCAGGAACCAAAATACCCTGATGTCACACAATCATCCTCTAAATATGTCTGCATACGTCCATCTGTTTTATTAAAACTTTATTAAAACTTTTGTCGAACATGAGAATGAACGGTCCAGCTTGTATTTTGTGCTTCATAATGCAGCACACATTTTCAATAGAAGGTAGGTCTGGACTGCAGGCAGGCCAGTCTAGTAACTGCATTCTTTTACTACGAAGCCACACTGTTGTAAAACATGCAGAATGTGGCTTGACATTGTCTTGCTGAAATCAGCAGGAATGTCTCTGAACAAGAAGTGGCTAGGATGGCAGCATACGTTGCTCCAAAACCTGTATGTACATTTCAGCATTARTCATGTCTTCACAGATGTGCAAGTTACCCATGCCATGGGCATTAACATCCCCCACCCCCACCTCCATACCATCCTTGCTTGTGAACAACTGAGCCTTTCATGGATGCTCCCTTTATACCCAATCATTACACTTATCTGTTTCCATTTAAGCTGTTCACCTTTGGAATGCTCCAAACAGGTGTTTTTTGAGCATTGCTCAACTTTACCAGACTATTGTTGCCCCTGTCCCAGCTTTTTTGGAATGTGTTGCAGGCATCGAATTAAAAACAATAAATTTTATTTAGTTGAACATTAAATATATTGTCTTTGTAGTGTATTCAGTTGAATATAGGTTGAAAAGATTTTGCAAATCATTGTATTCTATTGATATGTTTTGCACAATGTCCCATCTTTATTGGAATTCAGGTTTTATTTTTACTTGTGGTGACCACAGCCAAATAAATGATCTGCCAAGAGTGTTTATTTTTATGGATCAGACTATTTCCTGGAAGATGTATTTATTTATTTATTAGAATGCAGACCATAAAAAAAACTTTTATTTACAATTCCAGTGGAATGGGTCACCTCTGTATGTTTCCTACTTCACAGACATTATGTCTAAATCTTGTGCTGCTGTGTCTCTTTTTGTACCTCTGCTCCTTTACTCTTTTCTGTCTCTGTTCTGTCCCACATCTCTGTCCCTGCTGTCCAACTGTTTCCTCCCAGGACAAACTGTGTCTTCCTCACCACATCCTGGAGGAGAAGGGCCTGGTGAAGGTGTGCATCACGGTGCAGGCTCTGGTAGAGGAGGTTCCCCTCAAACAGCCGCTCCTGACGTGAACAACAGCGGTGCTGAAGCTTCAATCCAAACCTGCCCACTGACTTCAGTCTGCATCCTCCACAGTAACTGTTTTATTTCAGTTCAGGATGCAGAGAGGGAACTGAACTCATCAGAAGTGGATTTCTTTCCTATCTCTGAAAAATATCAAGCTAAATTTTAGAAAACCAGACTGACTTTCAGGCAGTTGCTTTTTAAATCAAGTTTTTCTAGAAGATGAGTCAAAAGGAATATTTTTTTATCAATCAGGTAAATTCAGTTACATACGTAAATACATTTTAACATTTTAAAGATTTTAATTTGTTTTAGAACACCTGTTGGTACCAACATCTTGGGAAACACAATGAACATCATGACAGAGAAAATGGACCAATTGTTTTAGAAACTTGAAAAGGCAGAAAAGATGCAGTTTTATAAGAAAATTCTAAATACATATGTGGACAGTTAAGATGTTCAAAAGAAGGTTGTTTTCAAAGTAATTACAATGACTTTTTTTTCTTTTTACAACAGCAACACTGACAGGCTTGTCCTGTGGCTCTGACCCGTACAGAACACATCCACTGTTTAAAGCAAAGAAAGCTGAACGAGCGCTAAGCTCATCTCTCTGTCAAAAATGACTGAATCTGTTTTCTCTAAAGATCTTCAAACAGTTTTAGCTTGTTTTTTTGGTTTGTTTTGTTGTTTTGACATCATTTCCCTCTCAGGTGGGGCTGCGGTTTAGTCTCACCTCTGAAATGATCCATGTGATGGTTTGTCCAGTCCACACAGAACAACCAAAAACAAACCTTATAAAGATCTGATTTTTTCACCAAAACCTCCAGAAAGTCTGTCTTTAAAAACATCCATAGTGATTAAGGCCGGGCCACCATCAGAACTCAGGAAAGTTTAGTTTTCCTTTTGGTAAAATTATGTCTTTATTATAAATACTTACCTTCAAAATAAAAGCCTTATTCTTAGTTTGGTTAGTTTTTCAAGTTCTGCATCTTCGCTGTGTAAACTCTCCATTTTCTCTGCATGATTGTTTCTAATCATCTGGATCTGTTTAGATTCATTAATCTGAATGAGACAAATAATCTATGCACACATCATTTCAACAAACCCTTCAGTCATTTGAACTTTCTAGTTTTGTTTTTAATTTTTTTTTATCTTGATGTTTTTGGTGGAGTATTTCTGGGATATGTGAGTATTTTTCTCCCCATTCTCTAAAGAGAATAAAACCAAAATACTAAAGTCTAGGGAGATCGAGGGAGACGGCTTTTTATCTGCCAGTTGAAGCTGAAGATATTTATAATAGAAAAGGCTTGACTTGTATAGAATCTGAAAGAAATAGCCTCAAACTATTTTTCTCTAATATATTTTCAGTACAATTGTGTATATTTTCTATGGGTTTAGTTTGGTGCTGTCTGTGTGTTCCTGATTGTGGGTGGGGGCAGGGGGTGCAGATCTGAACAGTTCTACCCTCTGCATCATTCACCAGGTCTAAATGTTGATGCAGTTTGTTTTTTGTGCCAAATCATGTGTGGCGTCAGCGTCTCTGAGCTGTTTGATGACTTTTAGTTACCTGACACTTAAATGTCAGAGAGAGGAGTGGTCTTCGAGGGTCTTGCATCTCTAGATGTCGAGGGTCTCGTGTCTCCAGAAGTGTGGACTGCTGAGAGAACAGAGAGTTTTAATGTCTCTGCTGGGGTTTGAATGCTTGGAGACAAAAATATTCTCTCACAGCTTTGCAAAGTCAATTTGAAATGTAATGTAGCGAAACATTCCTCTGGCCTGCTGACTGTGCTAAAGAGTGAATGAGGGTGTGTGTGTGTGTGTCTGTGTGTGTGCGCTTGTGCATGCATTAGAGCAGAGCTGTTGCTGTGTGAGATTACAGACTGTGTGACTCAGGGTGGGTTTGGTTTACTGCACTGTTGATGCCTCATTAAACATTGTGCTTTATCAACAGTATTTGTGTGTGTGTGTGTGTGTGTGTGTGTGTGTGTGTGTGTGTGTGTGTGTGTGTGTG